GGAAGTAGCTGGCTATGGATGCCAGCTTGCTGCTAGTGTCGCACCCCTCTAGCACTGCAAGCGTCAGATCCGTGACTGCTCCAAGTGCGCGCGCAGGAAGTGCAGCAAGGGCGAGCAGCAGGGCTGGCGTATCGGGTCCCAGTAGCGTGAGCTTGTCAATGTTGGCCAGCGGAAGGATAAGCAATGCCAGCTCAAGCGTGGCTTGTAACTGTGTCAAAGTACGGAATGTGCATGGCAAATCGCGGTCCGGAGGGGCTACCGGGGAGGGAATGTTGTCGGTCGTGAGTATCAGGGACTCCAGCCTAGGAAAGGCGGTGTTGAGCAAGGTGGCGAGTTCACTGGTCTCCGAGCCTCTGATACTAATTGTGAGGCGGGTGGTATTCAGGAATATCGGGAGTACGGCAATTCCGCCCTGGCAGTGTAATGCCAGACTTGGCGCTGCTGCTTCCCATCGTATCTGCAGCGCGAAACGCGCTGAGGCTACAAGGTTCAGCCAGGAGCTCGGTTCGCTGCAGTCGGCGAGTATCAAGCTGCTGATGGATATTTTCTGGAGGAACATAGAGCTGGCGAGAGAAGGGGGATTGCACAGTTGATGAGGAACAATGTCTCGAGTGATTGTAGCTGGGCGAGCGCACCAAGCGCCGCGGTCGTGAATTCTATCTGTTCAGCCTTGAAGTAGCGAAGATTGCCGGCGGGGGAGTGTCGTGAGTACGCTATGGAGCATAGAATGAATCTCGTCCTCGTCGCTGAACCTGACATCGCTGAATTTGTACGAATACCCAGAGTAGCAGCTAAGCAGGTTGACAGAGATGCACTTGACGTACGGCGCCACGCTATTCGACCCAAACAGTCCCAGTTTATCCTCCAACTGCTGCGTTTGCTCCGTCGTCAAAGGTATAGGGCAGGAACGAGAGGTTGGTGAGTAGGAGGTGAGCCAAAGAGCAGAAGCGCCCCGATGCACGGGCGACATTGTGCAGGTCATCCCTTGACGCTCGTCGGAAGACGTCGAGGAGGAGCTCGTTGGGCAACACGGTTGTTAGGAGAGAAATGGTTGCCGCGTGAGAGCGTCACTGAGCGTGTGACAGCCGACTGGGATGCCAAGCCACTGCGCTCAACTTGAAAGACAGGTCTTGCTCTCAAGCTCCTTCTCCAGCTTAATACAGTCGGGTATCGGAGGACACAGTGCAGCATTCTGCGCTCAAAGGACTACAATGGTGCCCAAAAACCTTCACGGCCAACGTGTCCACGGACATGAATTTGATGGCTCCCTGTGCACGTGCATCAGCATGGTCCGTGCGCCGCCCGCCAAACACGGGTCATCGCCCTTCTTTTCCGCCCACTTTCCCCCACACAGTCTGAGCCGACCTTGCGATTCTGCCCTCGGTGGCCCGCGCTGGTGTCGAGGAAGGAACAGCCTGCTTTCGAGGCAGGATGGACATGGGATCAGGCGCTTCAAAAATAAAATGTGGCTGGCGGGTGGGCGCCAGCGCCGCGGCTCCTTGTACATCGTATTTGTCCGTCGTCGTGGCACAATTTTTTATCTTCCTTGACCCGTCTCGGCGGGTCTCATGGTTGTCGTGTGCAGAGGGACAAGGTGTGTTGTGCACTTGATACTAGTAATTGGGGCTCACCCATTGTCAGTGTAATAGACGTTGTTGTATCCGTGCACTACTAATCAACATATTGCCAATTTTCCCCCAAGAATGGTGCAGTCGCCGTTATTCGACCGATCCTCTGCGTCGTCCACTATGCGCTGGCATCTGGCTGCCAACAGCGTTGTCCCGCATCGGCGTCGCGTCTTTCGCTGGTAGGCACTTGCAGCGATGTTATACAGCATTTTGCGGAACACTGGCGCTTCCAGTTGATTGCTTCCCTGGGTCGCCAGCTGACTCATCCCCGCATCTTGCTTCTCACTCTCATGGACGACCCGCCCCTTCCCCCGAGATCGAGCTGCACATCTTCCGCGGCGGCGCTGCAGCGCGGCCGGGGGCATCCCAGTGTTGATGCGCGTAGCGTGGTGGGTGAAAGAGTGGTGCGTCCGGCAATGCATACTTTGGTCCATTTCTCTCGCTGACCAGCTGTGGCCGCCAGTGTGGAGCCGCTGCTGTACAACGTCTTGAGTCTTCGGGATCCGGAGGCTGGTCTGACTCTCGATACACCATTCCCAGTCTTGTCGCCGTCTGCCTTCAGGGCGCTCATTGAAGACCCCCGCCGGCAGGCATTCATCGGCGCAGTCAACCGGTCTGCGTCTCGACGGAGAGCTCTCCTCGTCTGAGACTAACAGCATTCTGAACTCCTGCCCCCACCTCCAAGATGTTGTCATTCTACCGCGTGGTCTCATATCTAGCACGGCAGACGTGCTCGGAACTCTGCCCAACCTCCGGCGGCTCACCACGAACCTGCTCTCGCTCTACATGATGACTGCATCTCCCGACCTCTCCGCGCTCACGCGCATCACACACCTCCACCTGTCGTTCTACCACCGCTGGCCGCAAGTCTGGCCGCCGCTTCTGGCGCTTCGTGCGCTGACGCATCTCGCCATCGATACAAAGGAGTGGTACCACGACATTCTGCAGAGGGACGCCCCACCGCTCGACATGTTGCTGGACGTGCTGTCGGATCCACATCGGCGGTTGAATGTATTCGTCCTGTCCTACCAGCGCGTTGGGAAGGTGCCGCTCGACGAACGCCTCATAGAGCACCCTGCGTGCCTCCTGGTCCACCAGGGGATCGGCTGGCCGGAGTGGCAGGATGAGTGGACAGGCGGCGCGACTAGTGCGGGGTTCTGGGAGCGCGTGGATAAAATGCTTGCGGAGCGTCGCTCAGCGGGCGCCCCAGGGAAATATGACAATGATTGGTAGTCCTTCTAGTGGAAAATATTCTGTAAACTATTGAATCGGAATCCTCCAAGTTATCAGTGCCTTCAAGTGCGTCCACTTCTCACACGGAAGCGTGTTGTCATATGCGTGTCTGTCACAGTCTCCTCAGTTCTGTGAAGCACACGAAATCAACCGTATGCGGCACACCTAGTACCGCGTCCCGCAGGACATTATACGCCTCCGCAACCTCGTGGAACGCCGGCGTCGACTGGTGGCCGGGCACGTCGGGGTGGTGCCGCTTGCTCAGCTACACCTCCGCAGATAAGTCCCGCCACGCACAGCCGACACAGCGGAGGGACCCACCGCGAAGAAGGCCGTCTGCCAGCGTGACCCTAACCCTCAACGCGAAGGCCTGCACCGTCCTGATGCCCCGCTCGACTCGCTCGGGGTCGTTCCCCCTAGCTCCGCTCCGCGCAGGGTCCTGGGCTCATTGGACAGATGTTCTCCTGACCCGCGACGGCCCGGGTGGGGACCGCTTTGGCAAGCCATACCGTGGCTGGTGGTATATACTGTTCGTGCAAGGGCGTTGCTCCGTCAAGCCTAGTTCAGGAGTGAGCGGCGGCCGCGGGACGAGAGAATGATGTGGTGGAAGAGTGGTGCCGCTGGTGCGTTTCCTGCAGCTTCCTGTGCACTCGATATCCGACTTCCCGTCTCTGAGTTGGTTTTCCGATTTGCGATTGGAGATTCGGAGCCAGAAGGGGATCTCTGGTCATGGATTCACATCCTCGATCTTGCCATGCTGGTCAAGTTCACTTGGTGCATTGACAAGCGTCTGCTCAGCCTTGCCAGGTTGTCGCGCGAAGATGTCGTGTTCCAGGGTGCGACATCTTGTATTGCGGATCCAGAATTCATTGGTGTTAACCCACTCTGGCATCGAGCAGCTGCCGCCGCACCTTCCCGGGACTCGAACAGCTGTGCGTTCAGGTCATCGATGGGCCTTATAACACAGAGATGGCCGCGGCGAGCCAGCTTGTGTGCTTCCGTGTGTGCGAGCTGACCACAGCCTGCAAAGTGTTGCCTGCAGTTCTCCCATGCACACCATTTGTGAACAAACTGAAGATTTGGAATGAAGCTGCCGGGAGACTGCTGTTTACCCTCCAGCGCATCGAGAGGTATATTCCGCCCACGATAACTAACGTAGCATTGCAGTCGGATAATGGCAATTACTCCCTTTGGTCCGGGATCCTTGCCTTCTTCCCGAACCTGCGCACCCTCGATTTCCGTGTCAAAGAGTCCAGCGGTGATTCTCGGCCAAGCGAGGTGAATTCTGTCCTGTTATCTGCGGCCTTGATCCTATCAACACCGTTCTCCAGGCCCCTCACTTCCTCGCCAGCCTATCGACCATCCTTCCGCCCACTCTCGAAAGTCTCCGTGTCCATATTTGGTCCTCAAGGGCTGTCCTTCCCGGGGGGCAAACGGGAAGAGTGGGATTGAGCCGTCTTCCAGCGGGATGAGCTCCAGGCAGAACTACTGAAAGGGTGTGGCGGTCTACGGCAGATAGTTATCCGTAGGTCATTCCTGGACTTGCAGTGGACCAGCGATTGAATCTATCGCCGACTTCGGACATGTGTTTGGACTCGTGCATGCCTAACTCGATAATATTTCTTTGATTGGTAAGACGACAGGGCATTCCAGCATGTTGTCGAATAGATATGACAAGCATCAAATGACCGTTGCCGAAAACACAGTCATGCGCGGGGGGACAGCTCAGTGCGGAAGAGCTTGCTGGTAAGTGCACGTTGAGTGGACGACAAACTAGAGGATCCGTAGATTCAGCGCGTTAAGTACAATTGTCGTGGGCGTCAAGATACTGGCGGCAAGGAAGCAAAAGCGCGGGCCAGTGTCGTTGACGTGTCGCGCAAGAGCCGGTCCGCGAGGCGAACGCGACCGGAGCTACACACCAGGGGATATATGGACCGGGCCCGAGGGCTGGATTTCTAAGGCGAAGGAAGAGCCGTGGGGGGGTGGCAAACTTGTAGATGCAGCGCAGCAACGGCTAGCAACGGCGGCGGCGGCGGCGGGCAAAGCGGGTGGAGCAAGAAAGCTGACGAGCACGGGGAGTGGCATTCGACCATAGTCCTGGACGCACTGCCGGCCCGAGTTATGAGAACGAGCAGGGCGATGTCTGGAGTAGAAATGCACCAGAGAAATTGGACCTCGGATTGTCGTTCGTGCGCGGAGTGGCCCGCAGGGTGCGCTAGGTATCGTCGTGCAAGCGCATCGTCGTCGTGGAGCGGAGGAAAGAAACCAGAGATTGATGTCACGGCCGCCGAGCCCGGACCTGATGCCGATCACCAGTGCCACGTAAGCAGCCACGCCTTGTCTTCTCCTTCCATGTGCGCGGGAGACGGTCCCGCCCCTGGTCGGAGCGCGGCACGAATGCTATGCTTGAGCCACAGCGCGAGTAGGAGCAGGGATGGGCTGCGACGGTCGATTTGGCGTGGCTTGAGGTGCGTGTTGTGCATTCAGTCTCTATTTCGCTGATCTACTCCCCAGTAATCCCTCACTTTTCGCTGGCGAGTCTGACACCCAGGGTGGCGGCCTCTACTGGGCGGAAACAAGCGGCGTGAAATCAGCCGCGGACGGCCCGGATGGCAAGCAGCAGGGCACAACCGGCGGGGCAAGGTGCGTGTGCTATTTCGTCCGCGTAACTGGGTCCTGATAGTCGCTACGGCGTGTTCAAGTTTTTCACGGTGCGTTACCCATGTCTTGCTCATCACGCAGAGCCAATCGCTCATTTCACTAATAGGTCTACTGCCCCCACCGACGGCGCTCCGCCTTCCGCAGACACCACCGGCCCGTTCGCCGACGCTGCAATCGATTCCCATTCCACTCCTCTCCACCTGCCCCCATGTCCTCTCCAGTCCCCGTCTTCGACGCAAAAGCGATGCCCTTCCGCCGGTTGGGCCCCAGCGGTCTGCGCGTGCCGCTCTTCTCTCTCGGCGGCTGTCCGTCTTTGCGCATTCCCCATTGGCTTTAGCTGAGCTCTCGACAGGGCTCACCCTCGGAGGCTCCGTCGTCGGGCGAGAGCGTCAAGGACATCATGCAGGCCGCCTTCGAGAATGGGATCAACATGTTCGACACCGCGGAGGACTACCAGAAAGGTGCGGCTGAGCGCGAAATGTGCGTTCCCTGAGATTCCCTTCTGACCACGCTTTCTCTGACTCCAGCAAAATCAGGGGACACGCTATCAAAGAACTTGGCTGGCGCCGCACGGACCTCGTCATCTCAACCAAGATATTCTGGAGCCACGAGCCAGGCACGGGCCCGAACCACACGGGGCTGTCGCACAAACAGTGCGCCACCTTCCTTTCCTTCCTACAACTCTGACTGGCAACAGCGTTATCGAGGGCACGAAGGCTTGTTTGCGACGGCTCCAGATGGACTATGTCGACGTCATCTTCGCATCGTTGCGATACCACCGGTGGGTTTCTTACATTCGCCATAAGGAGGTCAACTGACGCAGGCTAGTTCCGATGGAGGAGATCGTCCGCGCATTTAACTATGTTATCGACCAGGGCTGGGTGAGTGGTGGATTTTGTCTATCCATATCCACTAAGATTCACACGCAGGCTTTCTACTGGGGCACCTCCGAGTGGAGCGCACCAGATCGAGGAGGCGCATCGTGAGCGTGTACCTCTCCCGAGACCTCCCGTCGCTTACCCGCAGCACAGATGTTGCCACGCGCTTAAACCTCATCGCGCCGATCGCGGAGCAGTGCAAGCACAAGTCTGCGCCATCTTCTTTCTTCCTTCGAAATAATGCTGAGGAGACGATAGCATGTTCCACCGCGAACGTCCGGAGAAGGAATACGCGTGCGTGGGCAACCATCAAACTTCAGCAGTAGCTAATGCTGACTTTGTAGCCCTTTGTACGCCAAGTACGGCCTGGGCACAACCGCATTCTCTGCACTGCAGGGCGGACTGCTGACGGGGAAGGTATATCCTCCTCAACCCTCTAACACGTAAACTAACTTTGCTAGTACAACGACGGCATCCCAGACGGCACGCGCTTCGCCACCGTGCCCATGTTTCGCGGGGCGACGGAGGGTCCCCAGGGCGAAGAGCTGCTTTGGAAAGTGCGTCTCCTCAGCCAAATTGCTGCGGGTGCGTCGTTTCTCCCCGACTTGCTGAACTCTGGGCGGAACCGCGCTGGCGCTCGCGTGGGTTGCGGCGCACCGCCACACTTCCACAGTCATCCTCGGCGTGTCCTCCGTCGCACAGCTCGAGGCGAACCTCGGCGCGCTTGAGGTCCTGCCCAAGCTGGATGCTGCGGTGTTGGCGCGGATCGAGGCTGTGTTGGGTAACCGCCCGCAGGAGCCGGTGCGTATTTCTCTATCCAATGATGAGGTGGATAATGCACTAATGATGTTGGTGTAGGAGACGTATGGTCGCCCGCCGCTGGATCAGGGCATCCTTTGACTCGGTGCAATATCACCCCTATCTTTCCTTTGACCACAAGATCAGCTCAAGTAAGGAAGAATACAAATGCCGCTCATTCTCTCGTTTATCAATATTGAATATCTTTTGTGATCTGGTGTGCTCAATTCGTATGTGTCTATATTATGATTATGCGTCCTTTGTCCACTGGAGGTTGAGATGGAAGGGTGGTGCAAGTATCGAAATCCAGCTCAGATTGGGGCAACGGCGAAGCAGCTGCCTCCGTAGCACTTGTCCTGTCTGCATCACCAAGGTGTCGGACGAGGAACCGCTCCGGGGCCCACGGCGAGAGAACATACTCGTGTCCGAGTACTTGACTTCGAGCCGCTGCAAACCCAAGGGAAGACTAGCCGGGAAGCCCGTGAGGAAGGCGGCAGGCTGTGATAGTATTGAGTAGGGTATGGGCACAGTTCGGATGACGACACTTAGGAGACATTCACTTACGGCGGGCACGCGTCCGGACAGCATCGTTACGGTGAAGTCGAGGGTATGCAGGTGCGGAAAATGTGCAAAGACCGCGCCCCCACACGGCAAGATCGCCGTCCTCCGAGTCGCATTCGAGGGTGAGTGTCGTGATTGTCACGGGGATGCACTGCCTATTGCGCTGCAGCACGGACACTAAGCTTGTGGCATCAGCGTTTTCGACATGCAATGTGTGGATAGACGGTGCAATCCGCAGGAGGAGGGGTAAAGCTTCACTGGCTTCATACGTGGTCGTGAGCTTGAATACAGCGGGAAACAACGGTTCGCCGCCGTTAGGGCCATCCCACGGCAGCCCCGGATCGTCCACATAGAGTGCCGCCTCGACACTAAGCTGCTCAACTGCGGGAAAGGCCGCTTGCAGCTGCACACAGCCAGAGTAGGTTAGCAACGCGCCGCAGCCCTCGGAGAGTCTAAGCGCCAGGTGTTTTACGTGAGGTAGCACACTCTGTAAGCCCTTCCACTGGTTGATCCATGTCCAGGCTGACCGCGGAGAGTGTGATGGGCTCAAAGAGCGAACCATTCTGAGAGCGTGCACGTGGGACTGTATGCTGCCGAGGTGGCGACTTTGACGCTTGAGACACGGATACGGATGTCGAGTGCGTTAATAGCGGCACGAAGGAATGCCTGGATCTCGGAGTCCACAGAACAGGCGAAGAGATCCAGCTCAATCGGGCCGCGGACCTGCGCAAGGTTGGCGAGCGCAGAGAGCGTGAATATGAGACTGTGGCCATAGAATTTGCGTAGGTTAACGAACTTGGAGATGCCGGCGAATAGCACGTCACAGATGGTGTGCGTGCCGGCTACATCGTTGAATACTGCGTCTCTGCTTCTTTCGGCGAAGCCATTCACTTCCTCCCAGGCGACATTGATGCAGTGCACATACGGCGCAATGGCGGGGGACATGAAGAAGGCCAGTTTTGCGATGGCATCCACCACCTCATGAGCAGGTGGGAGCTTAAGGATAGCGCCGCCTGACCAGGCAATGCGCTCCTCCGCGGGCGCATATGGCTTCACGGCAAGCTTGCTGTAGAGGAATGGGCGGGCAAGCAGGCGCAGGCGACGAGAAGCAAGAGCGACGAGCTTGAGCTGGGCGGGCGACACATCTTTGAGCACTTCGTGAAAGAGTTCGTTCGGAAACATGGAGCGACCAGTTGCAGCCAAGCTGGAAGTGAAGAGAGGAAAGCGCTGCCACATATTGACAGCGCACACGTGTGCCCAGCCAATCGGCGTGCCCGGCGCGGAGCTAATCATGATGTGATCGCCCAGTCACATCTTACGCAATCGCCTCCCTTTTTGTTCCTGACGCCCATCTCGACGCACAATGCCAGCCTTTGCAGCACACCTGCGGCGCCAGCTGGCGCAATGCTACGGCAACACTAACCGATACGCATGCGCCAACCACCCCTTCTCCAGTTGCCAACTTCTCCGGGAGTCTAAATCTGTGGTGACACTGTGCTGCTGGAGATCTTTGCCTGGCGTGTTACGCTGTCCTCGCTTTCCCGACATCGCTGACCGAGCGCGCACCTTTTTACAAGCCCACTCTTATCCTAGCTTATTCTCTGTCTTCAGACACCAGTCATCAAATCGACCGTATGCTCTACCCGAGCAGGAATACTAGCAACTGCCTCGGATTTCCCAACCGAACTTGGACCGCTGCCCGCGGTATGCAAAATGTGGTCTGGGCCATACTGGATTCTCCTCCGCGCTGCAAGCTTGGACCTTGGCTTGTGCCCAACCACTGGCAGTCCTTTGATGCCCGCGCCCGCAGCCACCTCAGCTTCCTGACGCCCAACTCGGTCAGCACCATCTCGCGCACATCGACAATGATCATCATCTTCCAGCATATGGACCTGCCGCTGGAGAGTGGTCATCTTCGGATTTGTTCCTCCACTCCGGTCCGGTATTTATACTAATAACTATGCAGCGTGTGTGCAACAGCACTGTCGAGGACACGAATTAACTCGTCTCGATGCAAAATGCCAGCCTCAGTGGCAGATCTACGCAACACTAGCCGATACACATGCCCCAACAACTCCTTCTCTGGATGCCAACTTATTCGAGAGTCTAAATCTGTATTGAGACTCTCCGCTGAGACGAAATTGCTAACACAGGACTTACACCGGCGCATCGATTCCGACTCTGTGGGTCCGGACTTGGCAAATCAAACGTCGACGCAACTTGAAAGCTCACGCTAACGGGTCTGCGCGGCTGGCCATCCGGAGACGATCGTGCCCCGTGGTGCTGCTTGCCATCCGCCTCAGCGCTATGGAGGATAATCTGTACACCTGACACAATATCACACTAGGCGCCTGCCAGGCTACTCGATTCCGCGCAGATTGGTGGCCGCCGCGCTTGCGGTTGGCTTATGCCCAACTGTGGCCGGGCCGTGGATGCTATCGCCGCGGCCGCGTCAGCTTCCCCACGACGATCTTAGCTGCCGACCGGCGCATCGACATCAACTTCGACGACGCGCCGCTGAAGAGCATCCTAACTCGGAGGCGTGTTCGAGCTGCCCTGACGTCATTGGCGTCTTCATCAAGATGTTCTGGAGCGGTGGAGCAACAACACGGACATGGGCTGTTTGCGCAAGCAGTGCGCTATCTTTATTCCTCCACTCTGCACCGGTATTCATGCGATGCAGCCCGTGGGCAACAACGCTGTCCATTAGCGCCTGCAAATGATGCGCGCAGCGGATTGACCTCGGAGAAGCCGCACTGTATACTTCTCCAATGCTCAGTGTGCTCTTCCACCTTATCGGTCTTCTGAAAGCACTGATCAACCGACAGTGTGTTCCACCATACTGCATCTGCATTCGACCCTCAAGCATCTATCCCGCGGGCCCATGTTCTGCGGGATCACGGACATGCCGTCCGCGGCGGCGCGGCGCACTCCTCAGCCCGCCGGGCGGGTGCGTCGCGGATGGGGACCCACCTGCGTACCGTTTTGTTGACGTCGGTGGGGCACCGGACTGGTCCCGGGTCCTGCATCTCGTCTCCTGCCAGGGACGCTGTTCGTTAGCCCCGGGAGGCGTCTTATGTGCCTTGAGCTGCTTAATTGCCAAATTAATGTGTGGATGCATCAATGGTCCCCGCGTGCGGCGACAGATACCAGCGGCGGAGCTAGCTCCACACGTAGCCTGTCTGTGTCCGAGTCGGACACCATCATCTGTCTCCTTCACTCCAATGCCCAGTGATCCACTGAGATCAGCACTGAAGAGCCTCGTGGATTTTTACAAAGAGATGTGCATATGGGCATGGTCTAATACCTCAGCTGCAGGAGCGGAACCTCAATCATGATATGATGCATTGACGGGCAGCGTGAGCGCAACTGCGCCAGCAGCCTGTCGGGGTCGGGCACCGCGAGGTTCGCGTTCGGGCGCAATCACTGTGTCCGCGTCGGACTGCCGGGATGACCTTCCCATCACACTGAGCCCTTTAAGTGTGGACGGAAGACGCGGGAGGCAGTGACGCAACAAGGGCCAATACCTGCGACTTCCAGATCAGTGTAGGATACTGACCTATTTCATTCAATTAGGCGGGTCACGGTCACATCGGATTTTTTGGCCGAAATATTTCGGCGGGTCACGGGTCACAGCCAAATCTTTTGGTCCCAAACTGTCCTAATCGGGAAGATTTCGAAATTTTCAGCGCCTGCGGCACGCCGAACTTCCTAATCGGGTAATAGGTCACGCGAAATTCGGCCTGTGGCCGAATTGGACATTTCGGCCAAATGGTCACGGGTCACAGGCCCGCTGAATTGATCGAAATGGGTCAGTATTCCCTCCCCCCAGCTCCCCCACACACACCAAGCAAGCAAGCAAGTAAATAATCACCACGACTCAACATTGAACTCCCCCACGTGGACGGTGCTAGCCCAAGCCAAAGCTTTTGATACCTGATGTCACGCATCACACCAGACCAGTCTTGAGGCTTGGAGTTGGTGCAAGTCCAACCTAAGCTCAAGTTAACTTCAAGGCCCATTGAAACTGGGCCTGACCATAGTCATATGCCTGTCAGGGGAACCCCCGCTTCGGCCTCCTTCGGACCGTCCGAGCGCATCCGAGGCACATCCGACCGGCGCCCCCTCGGACGCTCCGACCTACCCCAACCCTCGTCCTCGGCCTCCTTCGCCCGCACAATCACTGATCCGTCAAGACCCTCCCAACGATCACCTTGGGACAGAGCCTGCAACGCCGCTCAGCTCAGGCTTTCTGCGCCTACGTCGGCAGTTACGGACGACCAGTATATAGTTGGCGCCCTAGCAGGCAGACCCTTAGAGTTTCTTCTCTTTGGATCCTCCCCTGCTAGGTCGGTCCCTCCGTGTATTTCCTGTAGCTTTTATTCACGTCTTGGATCCTCCCCTGCTAGGCTTTCGTCGGAGTCTCCAGGGTTGCCCTTACAATGCCATCCAGACAGCTGGTAGACCGACTGTGCTATGCTGCTGGTTCGCCGCCTGTTAGTGTTACTCAGACAATTGCTGAGTAAGCAGTGTTCTGAAACAGTGTAACGCTGTGACATTAACAATAACAAATGCCGCCGACACCCTGGTGTGGGTTGCAATATGCAGCAATGCCAGTGCCAGACCGAACTTAGGCAGCCGTGGCTTGAGTCGGACCGACTCGAATCTTGCAAGCGTCACGTGTGCAAAAGGCCGACGCAGTAATGGCCGATGCAATAATGGCTGATGCAGTAATGGCTGATCCGGTAATGGCTGATCCGATAATGGCCGATGCAGTGATGGCCGACGCAGCAGTAAGGGCCGACACGCTCTGGACCACCGCCAGGGAGAACCCCAAACCGCGGTCAGAGTCCAAGGGGCTGGTGACATCTTACAAGCGCCAGGGCCGCTTATAAGCCATCTGACGGCCGACCGTGACACCGTGTGGCCTGCAGGCATTCCCGACATGCTGCACAATGCAGCAGTCATACTAAGTACTTTATCATCCCCGCTCTGCGTGTCGGCTGGCCAGGCCAGTTAGCGTTACACCAGCCAACGATTCGCTGATGCCGGCGACCATCGTTTGCGGCGCAGCCACTGTGGGACCCGGCCCGGACTAGCACCAGGCCCTCGGCAAAACTGTTGGATGTCCGGTCCAGACTGAGTCGGTCGCCTGGCTCTGCAATACCCGCCTCGTTCTTCCAGGCTGGCTACAAATAACATAAAAAGGTACAGGATTCAGGCCTTGGTTCAGCCCGCACAGTGCACCTCCAAGCACTATACCTGGCTACAGAACAGACAGCCATCTAAGTACGCGACTTACCACCCACCAATCAATCAATCAAACCCATACACGTGACCATGCCACACCCACCAAGACCAGAGGTCTCGGCTGCTGATGTCACGCATCTAGTGATGACCAAGTCCGGTTCGGTCTGGTTCTTGGCCCTTTTCGGCCGAACGCCGGAACGCCGGAACGCCGGAACGCCGGGTCGGTTCAAAACGGGATTTCGCTGAACAGCGGTTCGGACCAGCCCCGAACTGGCATTTTTGGACTGAAAACGGCTGAACCTGGCCGAACCGAGGGCCAGGTTTGGTTTGGAAACGGCCTTGGCCAAACCTGAACGCCGAACGCGCGTCAGTCCGGTCCGGTCCGGGTTCAAACCAAACCTGGCCCTCGGATTCAGATGTTCTGGTTAGTATCAGTTGACAGTTGGAATGTTGTATAAGCTTGTATTGGAGTTTTCACTGTGATGAACTGGAAAACAGCAGATGTTGGGTGAGGAGTTGAAATTTGAGAGGAGCAATATGGCTCTACTCTCCTAGCACTTGCACTTGCACTTAACCTAACCTGACGTTTATCTTAACCTGACAATATGTGAAGTGTGACAAAACCCGACTGATGTGACAATGGTAGTAGGCACACCCAGGGGGGGCTAATCTATTAATCTAGGGTTTTACAGGCCTCCTTATATACTACTCTCAAATTAATTACATAATACGTGATGATGTGACCTGATCCACTGATCCGGTTCTAGAACGTTCTAGTTTAGGCTTCTGGAAGGTTCTAATATAGGTCCTGGGTCAGACTTGCCAAATATGGACATGTTACCTTGGTTCGGTTCAGAGTCTAGACTAGTCCCTGGCCTAGCAGGCCTAGATCTTGTGGCCGGGTGCATATAGATTTGATTCAAAGGTTTGCAACATTTATTCTGAGATTCTTCATATGTTCCATAGCTATTGTGCATGAAAATGAATTTATGGGGTCCATATGTTATCTTTCATATGGTGGTCATATTGACGGCTCATTATCTCCCCTTTTCATGAATCTTGACCGTCCTCGGTCAGTTCAAGCAACAATATTTGTCACTTGCAGCTACATTTTTCACTGGGTTTTGTTTTTATGCCATGCAAAATATGAAGATCAAGTCCCAGTTTCAACTAGGTGGAGCTTCACCCTTAATGTCCTTGTTCCCTGTTTGAATCTATCATTATCAGTGCACTGTAGTACCAATTTTGATCGCCATCACTAATTTTTGATGGCTCTATGATACTACATCATTCCTGTCCCAATTAGGATAGTAATTGATACAGGCCTTCCTCACTATATACCGGATCATCGGCCTGAAGAAAAGGAGTTAAACTTCTATATATAGTAATATCTTAGTTATATTAATCAATTTGATGTATCAATACTGATTTTTGATGACTTTGTAAGCACTATCTAGCCTAGTTCTGCTAGCAGTTGCTAGACTAGTAGGATCTAGCCTTCTAGGCAATGGGGGTGCTAGCAGCCACTAGAAGCACTGCCTAGATCTTACAGCTACAGGTGTCCAAATTTCCTTCGAAACTGTCTGTAATTCAATAGTATGCAACTGTCTACATACCCACTCAATATATGTCTAACGCAACAGCAAGAAAAAAGTGCCGTTGTTAAAGCGTTCCGAGACCATAGAATTTAGGGCAGAATTCCCCACTGCAAGTACTCCAGCATAAATCCTGCCCGGCCACTGACACGTTGCCCTCCTCGAGTTGTCCGCTGAACGCCGGGCATCGGACCGCCTTCAAGACAGATACTATATTGTTTGTTAAAACAGAAACACTCTACATGAAGGAACTCAGTACTGTAAACGCTACATTCACAAAATCCGCGGCGCTAAAAGCACCACAAACACATCCATATACGCCCCCTCCACGACCACATCCCCTCTCCCAGCAGATTCCCAGCTTCGCGACCAAGCCCACGCCGGAGTCCACTCGCGAGCAAAAACGCGTCCAGCGAAGGCTTTAAACCCGACTAGCACGGGCCAAAAGAAATAGACACCATGTGTGTATATCGTAGCAGCACGAGCACCGGTCGATAGCGCCGCAGGACGCGCCATTGAAGAGTCGTCGGATGAGGTGACGAGTCACGCGTGACGGCACGTGCTGAGGGCGGGACAGGACAGACGCGACAATTGCAGTCGGTGCGCTGGACTGGGGATACAGGATTGCCTTCCGTGAAGAGCTTTGGAACATTGAAACAGCGAGGTTCGGGTTTTTGCGTTCGCAGGAAGTATATCTTGAGGCGCGGCGACCAAGGAGAATTTCCGAATTGCTGAAGCACGCAGGTAAGGCAAACCCCTCCTTGTCAATTTTCTTCCATCGTTTGCAAGCAGGAACAAGACGGACAGCCTTTCGTATGGTCGTGGGGAGCAGCGAGTGAGAAGTTGTAGTAAAAGAGAGCGGCTGGCGAGTGGGTACATGATTCTCGTTCCGTTGGGTTGTGGCGGAAGCTATGTACGAAAGCATGTAGTGGTGAGAGTGGAGAAGGAGATGGTCTGTAAGGTGAGGTAAGTGAGTCAGGTACGAGTAGTTCAGTAGAGGAGTAAAAAGGCCGTGCGCGCGGAAGGCGCGCTGAGTTGTGGATAGAGAATATGGGGACTAGCCCACTGGTAGTAGATGAGTGAGATGGAGGGAAGGGAAATGACGGGCGAGTTGAATCGCCGTCGATTAGAGTGAAAGCCGGTTGCGCGGCGTAGTGCGCGCAATGCACGGTATCGTAGGAGTTACCTATGTTGTTGCAGGCCGCCAGATAAGCGAGCTGGACGTGTTCGCGGGTGTCTGATTCGAGTGATTTGTAGGCCGAGATGTGAAATGAGTCCGTGAGCGCGTCGTGGTCGATCACGAGCGCGATTTCGTTGTCCGCGGCTAGCGCTTCCAGCGGATCATCTTGTCCTGGATAAAATCCAGTTTGGCAGCGCGGGCGGAGCCGCGCGGAAGCGTTGGGATGGTGGCAGCGCGGTCGGTGTTAGGACAGTGAATAGTGATTGTTTGGTTGTCGTTTGCATAGTTGTGGATCACCGAGCGAGTCAAGGTGTCGAACGGGCGGCCCAACAAGATGTCGTAGGCCGGATTGCGCACTATGTGGACCTGGAGGTAAAGGACGATGTCCTTGAAGCGGAAAGGGACGTTGCGGGCGACGCCGAGGGACGGGGTGACAGCGCCGTTGGCGGACTGCATCTGGAGGACGATGTTGGGGTCGTATTGGAGGCCTAAACGGTGGCAGACCTCCTCAGACATTGCGATGATCTGAGAGCCGGGGTCGACAATGCTTTCGATAGCCTCATGGTTGTCGACGACGGGAAGTACACAGCGGATAGCTGTGGTTTTGGCCGAGACGACCAAGTCTTCGGGGAGCTGGCCAACATCGTAGAGCAGGACGTATTCGTCTCTGCTGACGAGCTTGCCGCGAGATTCGGCGGAGGCTGGCGTGGCCGTATTCGGGAGCGCGTAGGCGATAGCGGCGGCGCGGGCGGTCTCGCGTTCGTCAGCAGGGTCGGAGGCCCAGTCATTGAAGCCAGCGAGAGGGTGTTCGGCTTGATAGAGCTGTTCGGCGGCCTTCTTCTCGGTGATTCGCCGCGGGGTCAGATTTGCGCGTGCAAGTGCCGAGACTTCCGGATTGGCGAGGATAGTGCGTGCCGGGAGGGTTACCGGCGTGTTGAGCACGGCTTGGTACAGGTCGTTCGTATTGTGCGCGTCGTGGATTGGCGCATAAGCGCGTGGCTGAGCTTTTGGGGCTGCACCCACGTTGCGGTCTTTAGGTGGCGCGTAAGCGGCGTCGCGTGCGGCTGCGTATGGGTGTTCGGGGAAGGGTACCGCGGGAGGTGGGACCGCGTCTGAGGTGGACGCGTTGGCCGTGGTCGATGCGCTGGCAGTGGCGGAGTCAGAGAGAGAAGCGGCTGGAGCGATGATCGGGCGGCTATCCGGTCCCGCGGGCTTGGCTCCGTGATCGGCGGTGTCTCGGTCAGCGGGTGTCACGTCACCCTTCTTGGTTTTGCCTCCTTCTCTCTTTTCGCCGCCATACGCGTTCGCAGCATGTGCTGCTCGACGGCCATCGACTCGAGGCGCTCTTCCGTGCTCAGGACGAAGGAGTGAGTGGGGTGGTGATGGGCAGAGAGGCAGGGTTCGGCGGCGTGCGCGTGCTGCTGGGGGACGACTTCGACAACCATCTGGGGCTGGATTTTGCGGCCGGGGTTCTCCCAAGGTTCTCCTCGTGCCACTTCTGTACCTTCTCACGGAGGGACTTGCCCTCCAGGGAACGAGGTGCGTACTCGCCGTTGGGGAGAACAATGCGGTTTTGCTGATTCTTTTTGATTAACCCCGCTAGGAGGTCTTCCTTGACGTCTTTGCACTCACCGACGTAGTGAGTCGGTTTTCGACAGTAGCCGCAGCCCGGGTTGGAACCCGGTTTGCGGGCGCGCGCGTTGTCAGACTTGTATAAGAGCAGTTTCCACAAAAATTTAGTTATTGGAGTCTGTGCTCTTTCCATTGAGGTGTTAAAGATGGTACAGCTTTATGGTTGTGGTTTTTTTACCAGGTTGTGGTGTGTGGTCTACATGGTTTTTGCTTCTCAATTGATGGTTTGTGGTTGTGCTATGAGATTTATGGTCATGTTCATTATGTTTGAGCTTCAGGTATCATACATTAGACCTCTTACCCACATTTAAATCTCGTACAAATTGATATTATGATGGCCGATCAATCCCATCAATCTTGCTATCGCAGTTTAAGGCACCTACCTCCTTCATATCTAGATTCTCCTGATCTCACCAAGCGTCAGAGAGCCTCAGGCCCTCAGACATTTGAACTGCAAGATCCCCAGATAAATCACCTGGTAAGTAAAGCTGTCCAGACTTTGGAGCTTTGCAAAGAGTATTAACTTATCGTAGAGCATTGATGAATTGATCTGAATCTGATGGGAGGGAGAAAGGAAATCTGAATTTTAGCTTCTAGACACTTACAATACAGCCCTGAAACCTCAACCACAGAAATCAAAACCTTAACCACGGAAATCAAAACCTCAACCATGTATACCACAAGCACAAAAATGGCCTCAACCACAGAAAGTGAACATAACTATAAGTCATAAACCACAAACCACAAGCAAATAATTTTTTGTGATAACTGGCCTCATAGACTTGGGCTGGGCCGCGTTGCGCTGGTTGGTCTGAATCTGGTGGCCGAGCACCGTGACCAGCTTGGTCAACGACATGAGCATCTCTTTGAGCTCGGAGTTCATCGCAGCTGGGGCTGGCTCGGGCTTTACGAGGGAGTCGGTGGTGGACAGGAAAGTGGATGGGGCCCCCGCCAGTGCGGATTTCGCTGCCTCGTACAAGTCTTTCAGCTCATACGGGTCGTCAGCGTGGATGTTTGGGCGGATGATTTGGAGGCACTGCTTGACAGCGGCTTGGAGCGAAGCAGGCTGCAGTGCGCGCAGGAACACGTGGCTTTGCTCCGTTTCGGAGAGACGCTTCTTGGCGATGAGGAATTTGCCCATATGGACAAAGGTGCGGTAGAACGTGGCCAGCTCCGCTTCAGAGTGGATACCCACACGGGCGGTGCTGCCGACTCGGAGATGCGCGTCCCAGTCTTTCAAGGTGTGTAAGTGGTCTTCGTCGTTGCCCGCATAGTGCGCTAAAGCCGCTTTCTTGAATTCCTCGTAGGTCTTGGTGGCGTCGCTGAACTCGTCAAGGCCTTCGACCAGTTCTTGGTCTGCAACTGACAAGTAGCGTGAGCACGCCTTCTTTTTCTCGAGCGTGGTGGTGATGGCGGCTTGGGCGAGCAGGAACTCGTCGTCGTCGAAGTAGCGGCGCAGCTCACCAGGCTTGGTAGAGTCGAACTTCGGCGTGGTATGGGCGCCGCGAGCAGGCATAGGGATGGGAGCCATGAGGGGCTGATGGTTGGCAGGGGTAATCGAGGTGGTGGGACTGGAGAGGTGCGCGGTTGGGTGTGGGAGAGTCAGGCGGGGACTGGTTGTCGGGGGTGTCGTCTTGTTCGTCGATGGGTGTAGGTGGGTTGTCGAATAGCCAAGCTAGTGTTGGATCTCCGTGTCGGTGAGGAGTGAGATTGGTGTGAGTCGCAAATAAATCAGGTACGGGTTCGAGTAGATCGTCGGGGTCGCCAGGGAGGAAAGGAGCCGACAGGTAGGGGTCGTGAAGCGCAGCGAGGACTTCTTGACGGAGTTCGCGGTCGGCGGTTCGGGATGAGTTGGGCCGTAAGCCGTAGGAGTCAGAAGCTATTTTTGAAAACCCTCGCGGTGGGCTCCAAAATGACGCGCTTGCTCACCAAATGAGCAAGTGACTAAATATGGCAAGTGTTTCCAAACTGCTTCACTGCTCCAAAGGAAACAGCTCAACAAATCCAGAGAGGCAGAGGGATGGACAGAGGACAGAAGTGGACAAAAGTGGGAGAATGACTATTCTGGAGAAACTAAACTACTACAAGCTTTTTTATACTAAAAGCTATAGGAGCTACTGAATATCAGGAACAGGAACTAGGGACAAAAAGGAACATATGTGCCGGAGTGGTCCCAGAAGGATGGCACATCCGACGGATCAATGATGACTAAGCAGTGATGACGAGGCTGGAGGCTCGTCAGTATCAAGTATGAGATATATGGAATGAAATTCCTTCCTTGGATTTGCAGTGTTCCTCCTCGTGTCTGGACTCTGGAGAACTAGTATGCATTCACATGAGCCCCAGTCCTAATACCCTGCATACATGAGTCCCTAGTGCATACATACTACATACTACAAATAACATACAAAGGTACAGGAATCAGGCCTTGGTTCAGCCCGCACAGTGCACCTCCAAGCGCTATACCTGGCTACAGAACAGACAGCCATCTAAGTACGCGACTTACCACCCACCAATCAATCAATCAAACCCATACACGTAACCATGCCACACCCACCAAGACCGGAGGTCTCGGCTGCTGATGTCACGCATCTAGTGATGACCAAGTCCGGTTCGGTCCGGTTCTTGGCCCTTTTCGGCCGAACGCCGGAACGCCGGAACGCCGGGCCGGTTCAAAACGGGATTTTGCTGAACGCCGGTTCGGACCAGCCCCGAACTGGCGTTTTTGGACCGAAAACGGGCGAACCTGGCCGAACCGAGGGCCAGGTTCGGTTTGGAAATGGCCTTGGCCAAACCTGAACGCCGAACGCGTGTTCAGTCCGGTCTGGTCCGGGTTCAAACCAAAATCCCAAACCAGACCTGGCCATCACTACACACATCACACCGGGCTGCCGCTGCATGCAGGGTCGCATGCTGTACCCTGGTCCTGTTGGACGCGGCGCCAGGCAGGCCCGCACGGATGACACAGAGGATGTCACAGTGTTACACTGTTCTGAAACAGAGTCACACTGTGACGAGCGCCGTTCCCCAAACCTGAGGAGCCTCGCTGCGCCGCTGTGTCTAGTTCGGCTAGCCGGCACTCGGCGGGTAGAGGCGGCACATGGGGGACTGGTGATTATGCCCCTGCCCATGCATGATGCCCGCGCCGAGCCCGTGCTTCTTCTTGTGAGGAGGCCCGGGCGCGTGACTGGACGTGTGTGCACCTGTTAATCCCACACATCCCTTGTAGTTAGAATGTACGCTACAGCGTGGTGTGCATTCTAACTAGAAAGGTTTCTGTAAACAGCCTAATGCTGCAATAAATAGAGTTTAAAGTTGCAATAAATGTAATGATTCTGGGGCCTAAGACTTGAATGCTAAGTCGGCAACCTATGCTGTAATATCTACTATGAATATTCAGCTAACAGATCATTAATGCTTGCCAAAAAAGGAAATTTCAGTTGACAGGACTAAGTACAAGGCGTGTAGACTGTAATATTGACTCTCTCCAGTGACATATTATGATTACATTGTTGAAAGTTACCAAAAAAGGAAATGCTTAGTACTACTGTAGGCCAAATCTAGTACCTAAGTAACTATGAGATATGACACTGTTATATGACATCTGACTATATTTGTTATATTATGTCATACTATATATAGATTGATGATACTAGTTTCAACTACAGTGTCACAAATGTGACATATCCCTCAAAAAGGAATTTTTTTACCATTTAATAGTACAGAGAACATCACACAATGTCACAAGATCAAAGTTGTATACTTTGACTATATGAACAACTTTCATTAAGTGACATATAGTGACAGCTCAGTAATTATATTAGCATTGGCCAATCATTAGCTGATCTATGTCTGGTACAGTGATATCTTACTATGTAGACAACCCACATAGGTGATTAAAGCACTACTTAGGGTGCCTGAATGTTAAGACCAATACTCTCAAAAATATAATGTTGGTAGTATACCTATATCATCTCATGATGGCTCATCACATCCATTGATACTGAAATATCTCCACTAATTCTGTATGAAATCAGATAATTGTTGTACTGGTAGGTAGCCAGTTATCTAGGCTTTAAATGTTCTGATGTTATTGTAGTCCCATATCTGGAGACTCCAATATTATACAACTTTTCCCTGGTTTCCACATTTTAAATTTGATCGGGCACAATGATCACTTGATATCTTGCTGAGGGATTTATGGATAATCATGATCCAAGTTGTATTCAGGTCTAATAGATGTCCATGATAGCCCTTGGTACCCCTTATATTTTTAGATATCATATATACCTGTATATATGACATATGTCCTATGAATTCAATCTCTTAACAACCTACTTAGAGGTGAGGGGTCTCCAATGAGATTAAGGTGGGAAGCATGTAGAGGGATTCCCCTATGAAATGACATGCCTTCAACCACATGGTCACCTGTTTAGCCCAAAACCCACTGTATATTATCAGTGGCAACCTGCACGCTTGCCACTGATAAGCCCACAAATCTACTGAGGGGTGAATAATTGGTGGTGAAGGGGGTGAATAATTGTGAAGTCCAAGGCAAATTTTTCGCTAAGTCCAGTATATAGGGGGGGTGAATAAAGGTGAATAATATGACATAGGCCATCTAGGCCAAGTCTCTCGAGTCACGCTATGTGACATGTTACACAGTGTCCCAAAAAGGAACTTTTGTCAATAGACACTAGAGCTGGTAGTTTCAGACACTATATTATATGGTTATATACTGTAACACAACATGATATACATGACAAGTTTCCAAAAAAGGAAATTTCCACCCTTTGACGATGCAATCATTAGAGAATGTCACAGATCGTCACAAACCAAAGTTATCTATATTGTCTATATAAACAACTTCCATTAAGTAACCTATAGTGGCATCTGATTAGTTGTGTCCACACTAGCCAATCACTAGCTGATCTACCACTAATAAAATGATATCTCAACAACTAGAGTGGCTACAGAGCTGAGTGAAGTTCTACTAAGGATACCTGAGTGGTAGGGTCAATATCCCTGTCAATATGATATTATCAGTATATCCATACTATCTAATGATTGTGCATCAGACTTATTAATCTAGCTATATCTCTACTAGTTCTCTATGGATTCGGATGATTGTTGCATTAGTAGGTAGGTGGTCATATTGTCTTGATATGGTCCTATATGACCATAGTCCCAGACCTTTGAAATATACTGTTATACCATTTTTCTGTGGTTTTTCTGTTTTGAATTTGATCAAGCATGATGATGTTATGATATCTGGGTGAGGAATGCATGGATAACCATGATCTAAGTTGTGTTATAGCCGGCTGGATGTCCATTATAGTTCTGAAAGACACACATATTTTTAGACACCCTACATACCTGTATATATGGCATATATCCTGTTATTCCAATCTCCCAATAACTTACTTAGAGGTACAGGATCACTGATGAGATAAAGGTAGGAAGCATACAGAAGGGTCCCCCTAAGAGGTAGTATGCTCTCCATGATCCTATATCCGTGTAATTGCTTGTTCTTCTCCATTATACATATGACTACTATTACACATGATATTGACAATACAGCCATGATCTGCCAGGTGATTATGAATCAAAATATGTCAAATTGAGTCAATGAGGTATATGCAGACATACTTTGATTGATGTCTGAATGCTGATAAAGGATGAATTTGGATGGACATTCAAAGACCAGTTAGGTGTGAAACTAGTTTACATGAATAGTGGGTCTATAGGCTGAGTACTGGACATTGAGATGCATGGATGGGGGTATCTGGATATCTACTAGGAGCCTGTACTGTAATTAGCCGTGGTTCTGGCATGTGTTACAGAAGGTAGCTAAAGAGAGGGTAGGTACCCCTAGAGCAGAAAAGAGTGTCTTTGCTATTACAACTGGTCAGAAATTAATTTCAAGTATGATACAAGACTTTAACGTAGGATAGTATAGAACTTCAAATGAACCTTTCTAGCACTTGAATCAACCTCATAGCTATTCTGGATCTCTCACAGTACCATTATCAGTGTTATCCATTGCAAAGATGATGAGTTCACCATGTCCTGGCCTTTATGAATCTGAGAAATCAAAGCACATAGACCAGTAAGGGAATGGTCCACCTCTCAGAAAGTGGTGCCCCTGCCCCTCTAGCATATATACATCCTGAGTTATATAGTGACAAGCGAGGCACGCGTTCACGCATGGAATTGTGCTGAAAAGGCCTCAAAAGACCCCGTTCAGCCAGGATTATCGCACTGGGTCAAAGTCCAATGACCTGATCATCGGCCGATGATGGCCGATCACGGAGGAGTGATCCGAAACGCGACTGGGCGCGACTAGACACACTGGCAAGCACAGAGCGGCCTCAAACGCGAAGGAAAGAGGGACGAGCCCTCAAAAACGGGGTTCTGGGGTGCAAACCCTCAAACACGAAGATGAAACAAGGTGGCTGCGGCAGGGCATGTTTCAGAAAGTGGAGGCACTGTTGGGCAGTGCGGACAACCCCGGATTCGAGGGTGCGGGGAGCGCTGTGGAGGCCGAGCACCCTGCTGATGTAAGCAAGGGGAAAAGGTATATAATTAGCAGCTTTTGTACCTAGAAGACAGTGAATCGTAGCCCCACCTTTGGGTTAGATTTGGCTCACCTCTCTGATGGCAATAACACGATAAGATAACGATAAGATAAGCGATCTCGGACCTTGGACTTGGCAACAAACGATATATTGGGACAACATATGAAGAGAGAGACTTTCCGTCAACACTTGGACATACTGAACCTGTGGTCTATGTGATTAGATGAAGACTCCACTATGCTCAGATGCGCTTACCTTCATGGAACGTCGCCCTCTTTGGATTGAGCGACCCATGTTGGAGCTGTTTATGCCATTCTTGGTGTGGCAGTTGATGCTCTTGATGCTGGTGGTTTGGCTGTGCACAATAACAGAAAATGCAACGAAAACAAGAGAAAACATATCAAATATCAAAAACATATCAGATGTGACTGTGACTGTGACCACTACTGTTTTGGGTTTTAGTGCTGGTTTTGGGCTGTGTTCATTTTGGAGTGGTTTGTTGTTGGGAGTATGTTTGACTACAAGAGGCATACTCTGTGTGTCATACCTGCTCTCCTCTACATCCACACCCCCTTCCTCTCCACCCAACTCAACAACCCCACCACCACCACCTTCTTCATACCATCCACCATCACCATCATCAGTGATCCCATCATTACCACAACCACACCTACACCTACACTCACACTTCTTATCCAATTTTGTCATCACCCTCATGTTGCTCTTATGGGTTGCAGCATGGATATACTTTCCATGGAGCCCCGAATACATCAACCATGATTTGTGTGTTTTGTTTATTTGTGGAGTTGTTCCCGCATTCAGCATTGCTCGCATTACCAATGGGTAGGATTATAGTAGTCCATCCTGTTGAAGTATATCAACTCGGATCATGAGATTTCATGCATGGGGCCCAAGATATCAGCAAAATGCTCCTCAACTCTATATTCAGTGATACTTGGCAGTCAATAGATTAATGTGATGGTACATGATGAGTGGGGTAGATAGACAACATCATGGTAGAATGGTATACCCTTCAAATAAGCTCCCTCCCAGCCTTATCCACTCAGGCTAGCTCAATATCCATGGTTATCTTTCAAGGTTGATGGATATCAAATACCACTGATGAGTGAATGCCTTGCCTTCTCAGTGTTAAATTCACTTGGGACTGCAAGTGGACATAGTAAAGTCTTAGTTTGGAGTCTTTGCAAATATAGGTCATGTACCTTATAATGTTGAAGTAGCAGATATTCCCTTCTATATGACTAAATACTAATTACAGTGATTAATCATATGATGGTGATCAGGAGCCATGGACTATTAATAATACTCTTGAGAATCTTCCTAACAGTACTTCAATCATGTATTTCCATTAAGTAGTTATAGGAGGAGTGACAAGAGTAGTGGGACTGGGACTCGCACAATGGGACCCAGTCCCACTTTGATGCGCTCAGTCCCACTTTGATGGGGTGAGTCTCACTCTCGCGGCGCCGAGAACACCTAGCCGAGGACTAGCAAGACAATCAGAATCAATCAAAAATTTAAATCAATCAAAAAAAGATGTCTAAGGCACTACACAGTGGGCCTCCGCGGCGAGCGGCAGCCCGCGGCAGCGTGGGGTCTGGGGCAAAGCCCTAGTTGGGGTCCGGGGTGGAAAACCCCGGCCGTCGCGGCCGGCGCCGCCACCCTGTTGAAATCCGCATGCTTCCATCCAAAAGAGGATGAAACACGCCGGAAATGGACCCCCACGCTCCGCGCAGCGGGCCACGCGGCGAGCGGAAGCCCCCGGCAGGGTGGGTCCAGGGCAAGGCCCTGGTCGGGGTCCGGGGTGGAAAACCCCGGCCGTCGCGGCCGGCGCCGCAACCGATGTGATGCGACATGTGTCGATCCATCAACGCGGATGATATTGATTCACCGAGTCCCACTCTGGGCCCTCGGGAATGGGACTGGGACCGGGAAAAGTGGGACTTGAGTCCCATTGTCCCAGTCCCAGTCCCACTACTCTCGTATATACTCTAGTTATAGACATAGAGGCTCATCAGTTATAGATCTGCTAGTAAAAGGCTAGTATGGGCATAACTATTCAGCTACCACTATAGGTTACTTAATGAAAATTGTGTCACGGATAAGACCCGGCCCGTCCGCTCCGGCGCTGGTGACGGGCCCGTAGCATGCAGCACGTGACGACGGGGAACATGCGCCCCAGTAGGAGGAACGCACAGGTGGGAAGCACGTGACCGAGAATGACGTGTCGAGCCATCGCCGAGCCCAACTCGACACAAGGGGACTGGGGAGGAGTGCTAGGAGGTTAGGAGTAGTGCCTGGCCCGCAAGGGATGTACAATCGTCCCCTCTGCGGCCAGGAACGAGAGCGAGGAGGAGGAGGAGAGGCCAGGGTGTCCGATCACCCCCTTTGCGGGCCCGCGTATATAAGGCGCGCGATAGTGTACCCTGTACCCTATCGCTTAGATCGTCTGAAGAACTACCTTACTCTGTGCAAGGAGGCGCTATCGACTCATCGGGCCCGACACGACCCGATTCGAACCTTCGACCACTGACGGCAACAAGGGACCGAGTTCACGGGCCCTTTCGGTTTCGATCTACCCCGCCCGCCCGTACTTGCAGGCCCGACTATCCGTCTGTTCTGTTCCGGGCGTGCGTTCTTAGGAGAGGTCCTTGCACGGCCCGACCCGAAGTCTGACAGGAAATTAATTTTAAGTATGATGCAAGCCTTGCAGTATTGCTGATAGGGCCCCTATATTGAGAGCCAGGACCCCTTAGGACCCTACATGACCCTATGTCCCTATATATAGGGCCCGAGCATAGTGTGAGGGGCAGAAATATTTTGATGAATTCTGCCAGTCGGTGCAGCAGAAATGGCTGGCAGAAAGGTGGCAGAAGGTGGCAGAATGGCAGAATTGAATTAGCATATTTTAAAAGGAACGAAGTAAATATACTATGTTACACTGTCCAAAGAAATAACTTGAAGTACTTCTGGAGTGAAGGCTACCTGTCCACTGCCAATATGACCCAGTTCACTCCAATCAACAACTCTCTCACCAGTGACAGACATGGCTGATGCCTCGCTGACCCCCTTCCACTACTATTCTTGCCTCCAAAGTAGTGGAAGTTCACCTGTGGGTTGAGCAATGACTACTGCTGTATCATTTATATAGGTACAGGGTGCTAGAAGCCGTTCAAATCATGGATCACCACAGTCGGTCCGAGACTTTCTGCCACCTTCTGCCAACCCCCTTCAACTTCTGCTGTTCTGCCAGGCCAGGGCCGAGCATAGGGCCCTATTGTCCAAATTAGGAAATCTTTGATCAAGCATATATAAAGGAAGATGAGTTTTTTTAGACATACTATATGACTATTCAGATATTGTTGCTTCTATACACATATTTTAGTCAGACAGACAACCTAAATATAAGTGTCTATGGATATTAATGGTCTAAATGATGATTTGATGGGATCAGATGCGAATATAGGGCCCTATATATGACCCTTCAGAAACTAAAGAAGTCCTTAGGGCCCTACTGTAGGGCCTATAGGGCCCTAACATCATAGGACCCTATAGTCCATAGCAGCAACACTGCATACCACTGATAATGTACAGTGCTTTGTGGGCTAAACAGGTGCGACCTCAATAAGGTGACAGAAGTGCCGCCAATGCCACACGGAGATATCCGCCTAAAGCAACAGCGTCTAAGCGGCCACCGGTGGCTCAACACATTCGATTTCACATCAGGGTTTTATACGTGTGCGATTGCAGAGCAAGATCAACCATATATCTGTTTCTATATCGAAGGTCGAGGGTTCTTCAAATACCTCAGAATGCCTTTTGGCTTGACAGGCTCCCTCAACATTTGCACAGCTCACTGCAGATGCGATGGGCGACTTGGTAGGAATACTGTTCGAGTTGGTGGTTGACGATGGCGGTATGGCAGGCGACGACTTTGAGCAAATGCTTCGGGACACCGTGACACTGTTAACACGCGTCCGCGAGAAGCATCTGTCGCTCTCTGCAGCAAAATCCGGGTTCTTCTTGTCAAGCGCAGTGTTTGCAGGCGGGAGAGTCAGCCAAAATGGGATTGCGCCAGACTTCAAGAAGTTGACAGCGGTAGTAAATTGGGAGCGTCCGCAAAACATCCAAAATTTATGTGCTTTCCTGGGGCTCACAGGCTATTTCCGCACGCTCATCAAGGGCTATGCAGCAATTGCGCAACCACTGACTGACTTGTGCAACCTGACGCAGAGCGCGTCTAGGAGGGCGGGGTGGTGGGAAGACAAGAGCACCAAGGGAGGCACTAATCGCTAGTACTGCGACGCGCAGAGCTAGAGGTATGCTCAACCAAGACAGTATCCATCCCCAGATTCCCCACCATCCACAAATCTCGATCTCGCGACTGTCCATACAATGAAGTCTTTGTCCTCGCGAAAGTTTGTCCCGGGAAAGGCTTCGACGAGTCCACCAAGGGAGGCACTAATTGCTAGTGCTGTATTCACTTCGGGCAGCCTGAGCGCGAGATTGGGTTGAGAGAGGCACAGGATGGGAACTGGAAGAGTATTATCGTCGTGACGAGGCCATGCACGCGCAAAGAAAGAAGGAACCAGCGGAAAATTAGGGAATGTGTCGCGTAGATGTGGGTGCTCTTATTGGTACTAGAACGGCTTGCAGTGCAGACAAAACAAAGAGGCGGAGTTTCGTGTCGCTAGATTGGAAGCTGAATACCGGTGAAAAATAGAATAGCGGAGAACGAGACGATAATCAATATGATTGTAGATGGTAGTGAAACCAGAGGCAACTTGAGGCAAGTCAGCACGACCGGAGGGTTTTTGAAGCACTGACCCTCTATGTAGACTGTTTCTTCTGCTCCACCCCTTCTATCCTTCCTACAATGCTCCCATATTCTCACATTCTGCCAGGAACCGAAGTCCCGCGCATCCGACGGCCGAGAGGCTAGAGCAAAATGAGTGAGGCAGGATAATCATATGACCGCCGAGCGAGAGGGCTTACTGCCGAAACAGTCGGAAAAGCCGCTCAGACTCTTGTGGCCGGAGCACCACAGCGCCTCCCAAGTGCCGTCGCACGGGTACCAGCATCCCTTCACCATCGATTCCGAGCGGGAGGGTAATTCAACGAGTTGGTGTGAGGTTTGTGGTTGAGTATGGGGAGGGAGGCAGCCATCCATGGCCAGAGGAGACAAGACGGGTGGAGGTTGAAGAGAGGAGCTATGAAGGCAGTTAGTCGGACCAAAGCAATCGCGAGCTGAATGACGCACCTTCTTGGTTTCCTTCTTTGCATGCTGTTCTGTGTACCCGGGCCTGACGCAAGCAGAGCCTCCATCCATCCGCATATGCCTTAGGATAGCCCTCCGCCTGGGTTACCAGTGGCAAAACGACGCAATCGGGAGTAGTCAACCCGGTCAAGGCGCTTGCTGCCGATCGACAAGACCATCCTCGGAGAATGAGGGAGGACATGTCATATTAAAGACAAATATCTGCAGAGGCCAGTGAGCACAGCGCACCTCGACCGACACCAGTTTCGCTTTTTCAAAGCCTTCACTTTACCCGCTCCGTCCGATGTCTTTCCAGCGTCGACTAGCTCGAGCACTCGTTTGCTGTGGCACATTCTCGAAGATTGAGGGTCTTAACCCACGGGGTGATTGCTTGGAATTCCCAGTGGATGGTGGAAAGAGGTGATGTGTGACACTTGTGCCCTCAACTTCGACAGTAACAATACCAACGACTGTCTCACAATCTCTCCAAGGACTAGAGTACTGTATACTTGCACTTGCAAGCTGCATAAAGCCTCATCTGTCCCAGATCTGCAAATCGAATGCTCGACACACGCTATCAGGACATCGCCGATGCGACTGCGTTTTTGCGTCGACTGTGCCACCTGACACCCGACTTCCTTGACGGTCCTACCAAGTCTAGGCTCAGAGAAGAGGCAGAACAACTTAAAAAGCTCATTGATGAGCTGAAGACAAAGCTACAAGCCCTCGAAGACCGTCTCGATGAGGTCCAGTACGACTTATCCAGCCTCGTTTACCCCGTCAACACTCTCCCTGCCGAGACCCTATGCCAAATCTTTGCGGCAGCCCTGTCCACTGGTATTTCACCTCGGAGCCGGCGTCGCGTCACAATGATCAACCGCCCACGCTTGCGGATTACCGCCGTTTGTCGGTATTGGCGCAGCATCGCAATCGCAGACCCGCACTTGTGGACACAGACATACTACTTGATCAATAGCAACAACCCTCAGCGCGACTTGCTATTCGAGAACTTCCTGCCACGCACGCACAGCCTCCCCATCAAATTCACCCTGATAGCTCGCGCGGGATCGCAATCACTTCCCCATTTCGTGTTTGACTCTGTTGCACAGTGGAAGGAAGTGTGCCTGATAAACGTGTACTGGCCACGAAATTGGGCGCCTAATACGGCAACCAATCAAGGAATTGATTGTCCTCAGCTTACAAAACTTACCTTCGACGCAACAAAGGACAGAGCGAGTACGCCCCAGGATTTGTTGATGAATGCTCCCTGTCTCCGCGAGCTTTCTACCTGCACTATAACCGACTTATTCTCTCGCCTCTCGTTTCCTCCACAGCGACTGAAGAAATTGACTCTTCTTCAACCCGTAAATTATAAGGAGCTTATCCTTCTGCTCGCACAACTCGTGGGCTTGGAAGAGCTCTCTATCACCATGTCGTCCCCCCATGGCTGGGAAGATCGGGATTTAAGATGGGGCTTGCGGCCACTGGCACCTGTACGATTGCCCTGTCTGTCAACATTGTTGGTGGCCGAGGGCCACATCCTGAAATTTCTCGATTTGCCGGTCCTCACGACGCTGCATCTCTTGCAGTGCTATACAGAAGATGTAAACCTTTTGGGAGCCTGTATCCTCCGATCTTCAGCAAACATAACCTCTCTGTTCTTGGCACCAATCAACTCTATTGCTTACATCACTGCCCTGTCTTCCCTGCTCAGCTCACTCAAACACCTGGCTTTAACCCTACTCGACATGAACCCTGACGAGGCATTACAATGTTCCGCGAACTTCGCACGCCTCGATTACCTTCCCAACCTCGAGTCGATCTCCTTCATTGACAATAGACCCGAAGTAGCATTTCTGTGCGGCAGCATTCGGCCTTTCCTCGAGGGGATTGCTATGAGAGCTGCAAATGCGCTGCTCAGCGGCGCTCCACACAGGATGAAACTTACTCGGCTCGTTCTCGACTCTCGCGCGCCGGGGGTGATTCCGGCTGAGGATATGCGCGATCTGGCATACCTGCAAAGAAGGTTACGGTCACTGCGTGCGAAGCAGGACAAGAAGACTGAGACTAGGCACATTTAACCAAGTAGATACAAAGCCGAATGATATCAGTTAGCCATAGCTATGTAGATCCAATGGGAGAACTTGTGTCGCCTAGACATCTAAGATAGATGTAGGTACAGAAATGCGGAATCGGGAACGGCAAAAGGTATGTAGCGCAGGCGAGAATGCACGCACATCTATTTGTTCTGAGGTGATTGTACACCTCTTGCAGCTATATATAGAATGACATTTCTAGAATATTCAGTACTAACAAATAAGCTAACTCACCGAATTTACCCTCCTTCGTTCATTTACAGCCAAATGCAGCCTTCCAATAAATTAGATGTGTTCCGCTCCTGAAGAGTCGCTTACACCTCTCTGCCATCCACAGAGCTACATAATATACCGCCCGCAGTGGTTTGGACGGCATCCCGGTAGCGCGGGTCAAGCATTCAATTTGCGGTTCTGGGAAGCCTGAGGCTGTATGGAGACTGTGGGAGCGAATGGCCAATAACTTTGGTAAAGGGGTGGTGATATCAAGTCGATACTGTGGCTGTCGGAGTTTGGGACAACGAGGAAGGATGGTCACGCGTTTACGCGTTTCCACTCCTGCCTCTTTCCACCATCCACGCCAATTCCACGCAAGCTTCCCGTTGGGCACACCCTCCATATCCGCCCATACATTGCGGCAAACGACTGTTCGAGCTGGCGGATGATTGAGGGACGACACGATGGGACGGTAGTGAGGTCTTGGGAAGCGGAAGAGGAAGTTTGGAGGTGCGCCTTTTCCTACTGCATTTCCGCCCTCTTTTCACTGTCTGATGCAGATACTCGTTTCGACTGCTACACCCCCCGCACTCGTTTTTCGATACAGCAACTCTCGTGTCGTGTCTTGCCGTGGGCCAACTATGGTCACCGTTTATGCCAGCAGTAGTGCGCGCTACCCAAGCGGAGCTATGCGAATGTAGAGGAGTGGGGAGGACAAGCTCGATGGAGCTGGGAGGAAGAGCAATCGTGTCGGGGCCGGTCTCCTTGACACCCGGGCCAGCTGCTGTGACCAGCAACAACAACTCAGACGAAGTATAGCTTCGACGAGTCCGCCGTCATTCAGAGTAGACGGACAATACTTGCTCTTCGCTGCTACAAGCGGGATAGCGACAATAACCGCCTGGGTATGCCCGCTAGCTTGCCATCCTCTCTAGCTAAGCTGACACCTTTTGCAGCCCACTCCCGAAGATGGCTTGTTGCAAATCGCAGGCGGCAGGGCCCTGCGGGAGAGCTAGCATACTCGAAGTCGGCAAGAGAGGTATGTAGCAGCAACCAGTTGCTTGCAAGCACTTCTAACGTTTCCAACGCCAGACTTGACGCACAAACAACACTTCCGTACCCTCTGCGACCGGCAATGCCTTTGTTACACTCGCGCCTCGAGTTGAAGAGTGCGTTGCTCCACCCCGTTCAAGTGCACTAACTTAATGCCGGGCTTTTAGATTGGGTCGTCGCGGACATGGAAGGCTGAAAGCATGAATTCTTCTTCAGCGCTAAACCCAATGCCCATGACAACAACCGACACACACCTCATCTCGTCTGCATCCTTGTAAAGCATTCGCTCTTCCCCGTTGACCTCGAGGTCGAAGACTGCCCGGCCATGTTGTCTCAAGTTTCGACTCCACCCACCGAAAGGCCAAACGACCATGGAACTCATTAATCACCGATTCTACTTCCTCATATTCACCTCTTCCCTCTCCACCTCCACGGTCACCCTCTCCGCCTCCATCTCCCTTGCCCACGGTCGCCCCCTCCACAATCCGCGTTTGCTTTCGGTCATCCTTCCCAAACGGCCAGATCACGTGACACGCCGGCCTCCGCCGCCGGAAGGCCGTCGATTTGGTCTCAACGACCTCGAGCTGCTACCCGTCGACCTTGCTATGCCTAATCTTCTGGTTAGGCTATTCCAGGCCCGTTGTTTCTGTCTCTGTCCTTGTCGTGCTCCATCGCCCGGGTCCAAGCATCTTCGCTTACGAAGATGGAAACGACCGCTAGCCTTGCGATATATCGCGTTGAAGCAGTGGGCACCGGCACAGAACATCTCGGGAGTGTCGCAAAGACAGAACAAGATTTGGTTCTGGAGCACGCGAAGGAGAGACGAGAGAAATCTGATATAGGTTGGGTTTTGCTCGACAAGGATTCCGAAGCTGACAACAAATGGGCAGAGACGTTACAAACATGTATCACACCGTCAATACATCCATTGTGTCTCTTCATGAAAGACAGCCAATGCCCATTTCAGAGCGGAATCTAATCCCCCCTCATCCTCATACCCTTCCTCCGTCTTCAAAGCCAGGCGTGCGTGCGCGCAAATGTCGTTTTTTGCTGCCTATCTTCGCCTAGTCACTCTTTAAGTCGATAAATTTTGCTTTGAAGTACTGGCATGCAGTCAGTACATGGCTTTCCGTCGTTCTACGTCCTCCCCCCTTTTCTATATCATCTCAGAACCGCCCTCTGTTAATCTATTGACTACCTCCTTACTTCTGTCATCGAAAACATCGTTTCAAGAAGAAGACAATACTGTAGTATTTTACTCAGTTCGTATGTCACGCGTCACACAGGCTATAAAATTCGAAATTTTTCCGCATGTCACACCATTTTGCTCAAATTCCTGTCCCAAAAAGGTAATTTATGACATTTCCGGGCGCCTCCGGCGCCAAGAACTTCCTAATTGGGAAATAATTCGAATTCCAATTTTCGTATCAGATGTCACACCATTTTTGGCATTCGAATTGAGTAAAATACTACAGTATTGCTCGGTGAAATCTTGAAGCTCAATTGACCCTTTACTTATTTGCGAATTTGTGCGCAGTGCGGGTCTGCGATTGCGATGCTGCGCCAATACCGACAAACGGCGGTAATCCGCAAGCGTGGGCGGTTGATCATTGTGACGCGACGCCGGCTCCGAGGTGAAATACCAGTGGACAGGGCTGCCGCAAAGATTTGGCATAGGGTCTCGGCAGGGAGAGTGTTGACGGGGTAAACGAGGCCAGTGTTGTAGATAAGACCCTTAATAAGACTGCTTGTCCATGATAAGCCCTTAATTATATGTTAAGCCTTATTAAGGGTAGTCAAAATAATTCCTTGGCGGCAATAGTGTCCGCTAGCGCTAAGTTCTGAGTGAGTCAAAGCAACTGTGTATTGCAGAGGACACACCCTGAGCAAACCATACCTCTTGCTCAATCCGGGAGACACGCGGAATGTGAGCCATATCTTCTTCGTCATCGGAATCCACGACGACCGGCGCGGTCGTGGGCATACGTGTCTGAATGCAGCGATAGTGGGTTGCACGGTGATGAGCACCATTGATCTTCTCCGTGCTTCGACCCCAGATCGGACCGATCTTCGGAGGCATTGAGCCGTAGAAGGAAGCAAAAAAAAAAGATGTGATGTGACGCCGTGACATATCAGGTGACCGACCATATTAAGACTCTTATCGAGACCTCGGACTATGATAAGTACTTATCATTATCTTATGATAAGGCCTTAATAATGATAAGGATTCAACCCTTATCTACAACACTGCGCATAATAACCCTACAATTTGTTTCTTAAGTCACGGTATGTCTATCAAGCTTTATATATTCTTTATGTTTCCTGACTATCCCAAGTATTTCGTCAACTATGTTTGCCCAGCGTGGACGGTCGGGTCCGAAGCTCAGGTATCTCTGTAGCCACGTTACGGCAATAGCCTCGTTTCTTGTTACGATGTCCAGCAGGTCTCGACCTCCTTCACCCTTGGGCGCGTAAACAGTCTCTCGGTTTATCGTGACGTGGGTTTTGTTTTCCCAGAGAAAGTGTCTGACTCTCTTCTCCAGTTTGTTCTCGATATGTTTTGGCATACCTTGGACAGTGGCTAGGTACTGCGTCATTCCTCCAACCACCATAAGGATGATCAGACGGCGTCCCTCCATTGTTGGGTTGCCTAGCTCCCATCTCTCGAGGGCTGCATCAATCTTTTCAAGTGTTCGTGACCAGGTGTCAACCTGCTTAATCCCGTTGCCTACCCAGGCACCTAGTGTCCGAATTGGTTCACCTTCCGCTGCCACTTTGATCCCTCCGGGGATCTGTGAGCCGTCTATGCCATTTACCGTTCGGCTTTCGATCACCGCATCTCGGTGTGTTTTGGACCCGATTGGTATAACCTCTGTTTTGGTAACGTTGAATTTGAGACTTCGCATATGGGCGTGGCCAAACGGCGTGGGCCTGCGCCAACGGGCGTGCACGCCCGTGATGGCGTGGGCGTGGCGTGGGCGGGCGTGGGACACTGTGCGGAGGCTATCTCCTGCTCTACGCTGCGTGAAGTGACGGCTCTATGACCGTCATGTAGCGCTCGCTTATCCGCAACACCGTCTCGGCCCCCACCAGAACGCATCAACATGTGTTGATCGCCGTCAACCACGGTGCCAAGCAGGTACAGAGCACCCAGATACTTGGCAAACCACTCCCCCATCGACCACTTGGGCCGTGCACAGACTGTGCGCAGCTGCTTATGTCGCAAGGTGTTGGATTGTAGGCGAGGACACCGACTATCGCCAAGGGCTTCGGACCGGGCCGACCGAGGCGATCCGGAGGGCCGGAGGCGGACATTGGCTTAGCGTCTTCGCCTTCGCGTCCCGCGTCGGGATCGGCGGGGAGTGGTAGAGTTACAAGTGCTCCTCAATCTACTTGCCAGCGCTGGGCCGAGTCGGTGCCGCCAGTGAGCGCTGACCAAGGAGCGGCCAGCCGATGCGCGGCGGCACCGTGCGCCTACCGTCGGTTGGCCTACGGATGGGAGTCATGGGACGGCTTGGCGGCCACCGAGGCACGTAGGAAAAGCAGACATATAACTCTGCCACCTTCGGACAACGCTCAGAAGGTTAGTCGTATGGAAGCCCACGCCTGTTTGTCGGGCGTGCCAAGCAGGACAAACGGGCGTGCCAAGCCGACCGATGGGCGTGGCACGCCTGATGGACGGGCGTGGGCTTTGATCGCCCGCCAAAACCCACGCCCAC